CGGTCCTCTCGCGTTTCTTCTCGCCGCTCCTCCGATCCGGCAGCTCCAGCGGCTCTCGCTTGGCCGGCGCAGCAGCTCCGCACACAGTAAGTGGCCCAGGCGGCGCCTCTCCGCCTCCCTCCGCTCTCCGGGCCTCCCCTCCCGCCGGTTTCCGTCGGCCGTCGGAGGAGAGCACGGGAGAGAGGACAAGTTGATCGCAGTTCTCGCCGGGGCAGGCTGGCATCCTCCGTGGCCCCTGCCCCCCGCGCGCGCTCGCGGGCACACGCTTCCCCCGCCCGCAGTCTCCTCCTCCTCCTCCTCCTCCTCCTCCTCCTCCTCCGCTCACACTCTCCTGGGAAAGAGATGCCGACAGGCTCGTGCCGCCGCTGCGACTGCTGCCGCCGCTCCTCAGACGCCCGGATCGGTGGGTAAGGCGGGCGGCGGCGGCGGCGGCGGCGGCGGCGCTTTATTCTATGCCTTTTTCTCTCCCCCGCCCCCGCCCCCGCCGTGCTTAGGACACCGCGTCTGGGGGAAGGCTGAGGAGGAATGCAGCAGAGGGGGCAGCCGCTGCTGCCGAAGAGCCCGGAGGACCAGCCCCAGGCGGCGGCGCGCGATCGGCGGCGGGGGCTCCCGCGGAGGGATCGGCGAGGACAGCCGCCGCCGCCGCCGCCGCCGCCGCCGCTGGGGAAGACGCGTCCCCCGCGCCCTGCTCTCCAGCACTGCCATGTCCAGAGCGCGCTGCAAGAGGAAGAGGAGGCTTAAAGGGGCGGCTCGCCGGGTCCCGTCTTTCTGCCCAGGCTTCTCGGACGGGCATCAGCCCGGGGCTCTGCGAAATGCCATAAACTGGGAGGTGAGCAGGCCAGCGCCTAGGAGAGGAGGAGGAGGAGGAGAAGGAAGAGGAGGAGGAGGGGGAGGCTCAGCTGGTGGAGCTACCTCTGGACGCGGAGAAAGTTGGCCTCTTCAGTGGAAAGCGTGAGTACCGGCAGCGTGCGAGCTAGCCAGAGACTCAGCGCGTGTGCGCCGCGCCTGTGTGCAGCCAGGAGCTGTTCTCCACGGAGCCCGTGCGCCGGCGTGTGGGAATGCGTCTGCACGGGCATGGGGGAGCGGGAGTGACTCGTGGCAGCTGCCCATCCTGTTGACTGCAGGCAGCGGCGGCTGTGCAGCCCACCCGCACTTCGCCCCCACGCTCTCATCCCGCCGCCGTTCCGCCCCGCTTCGTCGCTACCTGGGATCCCTGCCTCCGCATCCCCACCCTCCCGAGTTGCCTCCTCTTCCCCTGATGCTTCGAGGTGCGACCCTTCCTCCTCCTCCTCCTCGTGCCCCCACCGACCCCCCGTGCCGTGTTGCACGCCCAGACTTTCTGCCTCCTCCTGCCCCGGGGCCCTCCAGAGACAAATTACCCTCCCGCTCGTGCACCGCACGCCTTTGCACTCCGTTATGGCCACCACCGCTGTCCAGACTCGCTGGCTGCCCCGGGTTGCCTGCATCCTCCCCTTCCACCCCACCCCACCCTGCCACAGACCCGGACCCAGACCCGTCCTGACGTACGGCTCCTTCCTCGCGCTGCTGTCTCCTTCCTCCCCGCAAATCACTCATCCCATGTCGTCGCCGATGCACACACACACACGCACGCGCGCGCGCGCGCGCGCGCTTCCTCTGGAAAAACTCGGCCAGCGCTTGCTCGCCCCCGCGCGCGCGCGCGCGCGCCCCAGATGCCTCCCCGGCATCACTCCGGATTTCTCGGCACCGATGCCTGTAGAACATCGCCCCCCTCCCCACTTCAGCCCTGCTTGTCATTCAGCACTGCTCGCGCGCACAGACACACACCCCCCCGTTCTGTCTCGGATAGACCCTCCCCCCCATCCCGGCATCCACTTACCATCTCCCTTCGGGGGCCACCTTGCGCCTTGTGTCCTCCCCGCTTTCCACGGACTCCCTCATCTTCAGCTCGCCCCTCCCGGCCTCTCCAGCTCGTCGTGCCCCCCCTCCACTTTGCATGACTGGGGAGAGGCGCTTCGAGAGGCAACCCCTGGCACTGCCGCTGCGTGTGTGTGTTTGTGTGTGCGTGCGTGTGTGTGTGTGTGCGCGCGCGCGGGAGGGGCGCCTCGGCAGCGTGTGTGTGTGTGTGTGCGCGCGCGCGCGTGTGCTTGCTTGCTTGCTTGCTTGCGTGCACCTCTCGCTAGCCAAACAGCCTTCCCAACTGCATTCCCCACCGCCTTCCTAACTCGCCTGCCTGGGCGGTTTGCAACACGCGCGCACACACCCACGCACACGCACACACACACTCCGAGCGAGCGAGAGAGCGAGCGAGCCTGGCACCTTTATGGGTTGCAACAATGCTCGGGCCCCGGAGATTTCAGCCTCAGTAAGTAGCGAAGGGACAGAGGGGGGGGGGGGGGGGGGGCCCCACCCGTTTCCCCTTTTTGCTTTTGCCCCCCCCCCCCCCCCCTTTTTACGGAACACCACCATTGCTCCCAACTCCCACTACTGGAGCAGTTGGGAGAAGAGCTTCATCCCCCCACCCCTCTTGCAAGCGGAGGAAGCTGCTTCAGTGCGGTAATCTTAGAGGTGGAACTCGTTCTTTTTTTTTTTTTTCCTGCCTGGGAGGGGAGCGTTGAAGAGGATGGGCATCGCTTAAAGACTCACACCACCCTCCTCTCTGTCTCTCTTTCTCTCGCTGTCACCCCATTTAGCGGCGTCTGCTTCCCTTTTTCTAGCCGGAGCCTTTGCTACCAGATCTCCAGGCAATCCCTTCTCTCTGCCATGCTCAACTTTTATTCGCTTCAGCTCGCGTCCTCTCTTCTCCCCTCCAATATTTCAAAGGCAGGATTGATGGGGGGGGGGGGGGGGGGGGGGGAGGGAGAAGAGAAAGGACATGAAGATTATTTTGATTTTGCTGTTACTGAAACATTGAAATAAACGTTGAAATAAAACTTTAAAGCGGAGGTTAGAGATGAAGTATCAACACGATTATTTATTTATTTGTGAGCTTTCTGGCAAGAGGCAGTTGGTTTGGGATAAATAACTCTGGTAGAACTGGGGATTGTGTTGGAAGTAGAGGATCCCCCTGCCCCCCTGCCTTGGTTTCCCATTCTCTCATCAGCCTCCAATTTCTTGTTTGATGCACAGATTGATTGGGATATGTCTTCTCTCTCTTTTACCAAACCATGCCACTGGAGAGCAAAGGACTTCTACCCTAACATGTCTGGATTCTGCTGCAAAATGTTTGAACCCAGACAGATGCTTGCTAATTGATGAACCATGCTGAGATGCAGATTTTTTCCCCCTGTGATCATGTTTGCAATGTCTAGGACGCTCCAAATCCAACATCTTTATCTGATGCTTTGACCTGACCAAACATAAGCCCTCCACTTCCTTCCTCAAAATTGGCAATTGCAAACAAACCCTAAACTCATTGCTTAAGGTTGGATGACTTATTCATCCATCCTTTCCACCCCTGCTTTCCCTCTCCTCCCACAATATTGCTTCCAGACAAGTAAAAGTAGAAGGATCTGTAAAGGGGGAAACAGGAAGGTGAGCAGAGGGAAAGGGAACTGGGCTTGTGCTCCTGTCTAGATGCAATTCAGAGACTCAACCTGAGACACAGATCGGGGAGGAAGTACAGATAAAACAGCGTGGGTGGGGAAATACCCCCCTTAACCTGCCTTGGGTGCCTTCTTCTCGGAGGGACCGAAGGTGCTGCGAGAGACAGGAACTCGGTATGGCTCCTACATTCGGTAATGATTTGCCTCTCTGAGATACAGTCAGCTCATTCCGTTGCAATTAGACTAGTTTTGCTAAGTGTGGAGGATGAAGCGGTATGTCACATATGGCTGAGGCTGCAGGAACAATCCTCAGGTCTAGCACATTTGCCAAGTTCTGGGTGAGTGACTAAAGGACACTGCTCCTCTCTCCCTCTCCATCTCTCTCTCTCTCACTCTCTCAGTGAAAGAGAGAGAGAGGAGGTGGGGGTCTTGTGTTGCTGCCTTTTGGCCAATGCCCTTGTGAAAATAACTCATTTATGGTCCAATCAATCCAGAAACACACAGGGATGATGACTTCTTTAGGAAGAGCTGGTTTGAATAAGAATTCATAAATATTCCACCAGTGGCTAGCACTGTCACTGAAAAACAAAAAAAAAAAAAGCCTGTGAAATGATGAGGGGGCGTATATTGAATTACTCAGCTGGATAATTCCAGCACTACTGGTATTTTCTCTCCCCCATTACCCTGCCGCCATTAAAAAAAAGAGCAACACATGAAGCTGTAGGTTAGGTTTTTGCATATGCTGGTAGAGCAAAACTGCATAGACTCATGTAGTCTGAGAGATTCACCCATTTCAGGGTTTGGGTTTTGATTTTGTCTCTCCAAAAGGAATGTTAGTGCTATAGACTCCTGCAGTGGTATTTCAAGGAACTCTGTGTGTGTTTTTCAACTATCAAGAGAGCAGCATGCCTTGGCAGAAATGGGGGAAGACCTTCCTTCCCAAGTCGCTGTTCATTCGAAAGGTTCTGAAAAGGAGGGGAGCTGTACGGGGAATAGGTGAAGTTGAAAGGCTCATAAAATGGTGCTTCTGTTCTGTGAAATTGGAACCAAGTAACTAAACTGACAGCCATTTTATGTATATTTATGGACAGGTTGTCTCTGTGTGTGTGTGTTTGTGAGGGAGAGAGACAGGGAGAGCGAGAGAGAAATGTGGAGAAGAGAAAGCTGCTTGTAACAATAAAAGAAAGATACTAAAATGCATTCTGAGGGTTAAGAATGGAAGGGATTTGGTTCATGCCTTTTGAAATAGGGAAATTTGTGATAAATAAATAAATAACTAAGCAAGCATTTATTGAACAAAAGTTACACAGTCATCTTTTATTCAGATCTCTTGGCATTGTAAAGCAACCCTGATTTCTTGAACACATCTCTTAGCTGTGCTTTAAGTGCTTGAATATTGTCATGATTAGGTTGCATTCCTCACACTTGTGTCACGCTCGTGTTTCTTTTCTCTTCTTATCCTCCACAGGAAATAACATGTATGCTTGCTGCTCTACAGTGACTTTGGAGCAGGAACTCAACAGGAAAATGCATATCTGGATGGTGCAAACCATCGCCTTTGCTTTAACATCACTAGTCCTGACATGGGCAGAGAGCATTGAGTATTATGGCGAGATCTGTGACAACAAATGCCCTTGTGAGGAGAAGGATGGCATCTTGACAGTGAGCTGTGAGAACCGGGGGATCATCCACCTCTCTGAGATCAGCCCTCCCAAATTCTCCATTTACCATCTCCTGCTGTCTGGGAACCTCCTCAATAGGCTCTACCCCAATCAGTTTGTCAATTACAGCGGGGCTTCAATTTTGCACCTAGGGGGGAATGACATCCAAGACATTGAAACTGGAGCCTTTCATGGGCTGAAGGGCTTAAGGAGGCTGCATTTGAATAACAACAAGCTAGAGGTGCTGAGGGATGACACTTTCATGGGCCTGGAAAGTTTGGAGTATCTCCAGGTTGATTACAACTATGTCAGTGCTATTGAGCCAAACACCTTCAGCCAGCTGCACCTGCTGCAGGTACTTATCCTGAACGACAACCTCCTTGCTTCTTTGCCCAACAATCTGTTCAGATTTGTGCCCTTGACTCACCTGGATCTGAGGGGAAACCGGCTGAAACTGCTACCCTACCTGGGCCTCCTGCAGCATATGGATAAGGTTGTGGAGCTGCAGCTGGAGGACAACCCATGGAACTGTTCCTGTGAGCTGATTGCACTCAAGGATTGGTTGGACAGCATCTCCTATTCAGCCCTAGTGGGGGATGTGGTTTGTGAGACCCCTTTCCGTCTGCATGGGAGGGATTTGGATGAAGTGTCTAAGCAGGAGCTTTGCCCTCGGAGACTCATCTCTGATTATGAGATGAGACCCCAGACTCCTCTGAGCACCACAGGGTATTTTCACACAACTCCGGCTTCGGTCAATTCTGTGGCTACTTCTTCCTCAGCTGTTTACAAACCACCCCTGAAACCCAAGGGGACCCGCCAACCCAATAAGTCCAGGGTTCATCCTACCCCCCGCTTAACCTCCAAGGATCTGGGATACAGCAACTATGGCCCCAGCATTGCTTACCAGACCAAATCCCCGGTGCCTTTGGAGTGTCCGACAGCTTGTACTTGCAACCTTCAGATCTCTGATTTGGGTCTCAATGTCAACTGCCAGGAGAGGAAGATTGAGAGCATCGCAGAGCTCCAGCCTAAGCCGTACAACCCCAAGAAGATGTATTTAACTGAGAACTACATTGCCTTGGTGCGCAGATCAGATTTCCTGGATGCTACTGGATTGGATTTGCTCCACCTGGGCAATAACCGCATTTCAGTCATTCAGGACCGGGCCTTTGGGGATCTAACTAACTTGCGGAGGCTCTATCTGAATGGAAACCGGATTGAGAAACTGAATCCAGAGCTTTTTTATGGGCTTCAAAGTTTGCAATATCTCTTCCTCCAATACAATGTGATCCGGGAGATTGAGGCCAACACTTTCGATCCAGTGCCCAATTTACAGCTCTTGTTTCTCAACAACAACCTTCTGAGATCTTTACCGGTGGGCATCTTTTCTGGCTTAACTCTCTACAGGTTGAACCTGAGGAGCAACCATTTCTCCTACCTTCCTGTGAGTGGGGTGCTTGACCAACTGAAATCTCTGCTTCAAATAGATCTTCATGAGAACCCATGGGATTGTACTTGCGATGTGGTGGGCATGAAGCTATGGCTTGAACAACTGAACACGGGAGTCCTTGTGGACCAGGTAATCTGTGAATCCCCTAAGAAATTTGCTGAGAATTACATGAGGAACATCAAAGCAGAACTGCTTTGTCCAGACTACTCTGACATTATTGTTTCCACACCCACCCCATCATCCATGCAGGGACCAGCAAGGACCACCCCCTTCTCCAGCTCTGGGCAATTCAATAGCACCTTGGAGGAGGACGACTCAGCATCACGTTCTGGTGGCTCTTCTTCCTCCTCCTCTTCTTCCACGGTGCCTTTGTCGGTGCTGATCCTCAGCCTGCTGCTTGTGTTCATCATGTCTGTGTTTGTGGCTGCAGGCCTCTTTGTGCTGGTCATGAAGCGTAGGAAGAAGGTCCAAGGGGACCATGCCAGTACCAACAACTCAGATGTGAGCTCCTTCAACATGCAGTACAGTGTATACACAGGAGGAGGAGCCCCTCATTCTCATCCCCATGCCCATCACCAGCAGCATCCACAGCATCTTCACCGCGGAGGAGGAGGAGGAGGCAGTGGTCCAGCTTTGCCCAAGGTGAAAACCCCTGCAGGACACGTCTATGAATACATCCCTCATCCTTTAGGTCACATGTGCAAGAACCCCATCTACCGCTCCAGGGAGGGCAATGCGGGTGAGGATTACAAAGACCTCCATGAGCTCAAGGTGACCTACAGCAACCACCACCTCCAGCCCCAGCCCCATCCACCCCCACAGGCCTTGGGGCAACCCCCTGCAGCCCCAGGGGGGCAAGAGGAGACACTCCGGAGCCCCACATACAGTGTGAGCACCATTGAGCCTCGGGACGAGTTGCTTTCCTCTGTTCAGGATGCTGATCGTTTTTACAGGGGCATTTTGGAGCCCGACAAACACTCTTCCACTATGGGGGGCAGTAACCTTCCTGAGTACCCTAAGTTCCCCCCAACCACTTACACATATTCCCCTAATTATGACCTTAGGCGCCCCCCTCATCCCTACTTGCATCCCGGCCCGGGGGACAGTCGGCCCCGGGAGACAGTGCTTTATACACCCCCAAGTACTGTTTATGTAGAGCCCAACAGGAATGAATATCTGGAGCTAAAAGCAAAGTTAAACGCAGAGCCGGACTACCTCGAAGTATTGGAAAAACAGACCACATTCAGTCAGTTCTGAGACCTCCTCCACTCTTCCCTTCCTCTCTCCAGAGCATTTGTATTTAATAACCACACACAAAGAAACACAGTGTTGATCTCCCCCAACCCCAGTCCTTTCCTCCCCAACCTGCCCTTGCTTCATGTTGTCGGAAGGAGAAGTGCCTTGGCACAGGAATTTCCAGCTTTGGGGAAAGTTACCGAAAGGGTGTGCTGATTCCATAGTTATAGATCTCTGTCCTTGTTTTGTTTTTTTTTTCCTTTCCGTTTTTCTTTTTTACAGCCAGTGGGAACCAATCAATTGCGTGAACTAGGCACAGAATTGGTTTCTTAAGCTTTGATATGATGTGTGTTGTGCTAAGGGAGGCATTGCAGTGTGTTCAAAAAAGGTGTGTGTGCTGGGGGGGGGGGAGTCTTGTATACCTGGATGTCAAAAAGATCATAGAAATCACTTTCTCCTTTTATGTCAGATATGCACCACTGATTATTTTGCTTTTTTTTTTTTTGGTTGAAAAGTGCAGGGCACCTAATTCCCTTTTAAGCCATGGATGGGTCTCAGTGGCTTTTGGGGAGGGGAGGCGAGGGGAGGGGAGGGGAGGGGGGCAAGATTAGCACACCCTGACTTTAATACAAGTTTGTTTGTTCTTTCCCTTTCCCTTTTTTAAATGAAAAACAACGGATGTATTTGTATGTTTCTGGACTTTTGAAGTACATACCAGTATTATGATCTTGAAAAGGATCACTATAGATGTGGACAAATCAATAAAGAGTTCAGAGATATATGATCCATAACTGGTTAGTAAAAAAAGAAAAAAAGAGAAAAGAGAAAAAATAACTTATTGAAATATATACAAAAATATTTTATTGTAGCTCCTATTTTTATATACATGGTAGCATTTTCTTCACTCCTTGAGGGTTCACACCATCTAAATGGAACAGATTGTAGGACTTCTTTGCACATCATGGAAAGTTTTTAAAGATGTAGACCTAAATGTGACAAAACAGATGTTTAGAAATGTTCATCACAGAGCTACCCTTGGCGAAAAGAACCAGGATTGATCATGGCTCTCTCTTGCATTAACGGCCTGATGGAACACCCTGGTTTGTGGCTGTATAATATGTGAAAGTCCCTATAGAGCTGGTGGGATGGGTAAACATCCTGCAAACACATAGGCTGCTATCCTGCACACAGTTAGGGACCCATGGATAGGGGGCAAACCTGCCCAACCGAGCATAGGCCTGCAGCATTAGGCCCATGTGACATGTCTGTGTAAAGTACTGTACATGCTTCTGTGTTTGCAGTAGCAGGTTCCTACTCAGCCATAGTGCTGGAAGCACATCCCACTTGCTAAAAGAGCTTCCAGGGAGAAGGCCAGGAGCCTGCGATCTACTCCGAAGCATTACACTGCATTCTGAGTTTTCTTCCCAAAGCTGCCATGGTCTCTGGAGAATGTCAGGAATCACTGGAAGTGCTAATAATCTCCACAACCAAAACCTAACAAGACAATCTAAGGCAAAACAATCAGGTCAGGAAAGAGAGAGAGAGAACAATATATACAATCTATTTTGCTGCTGCTGCTGCTGCTGCTGAATTATTACTCTTAGGAGCCTCCTGCTAGGGTGACTAATTGAGCTAATTAGTAAGGGACATGTAGAAATTGTTTATTTGGTGTGGGGGGAACTTAGTGGAAGTTTATTCTTATAATTCAGACAACATACTTCCTTTGACAACAGCTGTAGCTGGTTTGGATTGCTGAACCAACCATAATAATTGACCAGGTTATTGGCCCCTGGAAGGCCAAATGATGGACTGTGCAAATCTGTTTACGATGCATCAATTCCTACCCTTGTGGCAGCAAGCAGTGGCAAAGCAAGCCATCAACATAGCATCACTGTATGATGGGATCGGTTATGTTCTCATATGTATCCCAGCACATGTAATTTTTTATAGTTTATGAATAAACACTTGATAACAATTTCAAATGGGAGGATATGGAATACTCTTTTCCTGAGATTAAATTATTTATTTATGTTTCCATATGTTGCTTATCAACAAATTTCTTGTCTTCCCATCACCCCACATTCTTCCTGAGATTACAGATTTTAAAGTACTGAACTCCTTTGTATTATTTAAGGTGTTTTCCAATCTCACCATACCTAGCCATTCTGAAGGTACTTTAGATGGTTGTACTCCTGTATGGTGTGTGTGGTACTATAGTTTTACCTTTGCATCTTGTCTCCTTTATACTTCCATTTTATATTTGTGAAATTTGGTAAGTGATGAATCATTTAGAGTCTTAACTTTGTACTGTTTCCAGGGTTTTCATTTTGGGAAGAGGGGGTTCATTGTTTCATTGGGCATTTTTTTTTCAAAAGAACTAGCTACCTTTTCTTACATATGCAAAGTCATCTTTTTTAATGAGAACATATAGTGTATTTTTCTTCCTTTGCACAAGATAATTGTGCCTTATAACAAAACTTCCATCTCCACTTCCTCCATCTCTTTCATGAACCAGAAAGGAGCAAACTGCATTATACATTTTTAACTTGAAGGATGCATCTGCATATTGATTTTAAATATGTGAAAGTATTTTTGTTTGATCTTGAAATAATCTAACAGAGAGTTAAAATTCAGTTTTATTAATGTTCAGCAGAACCCCAGAATGTGGGGCTTTAAATTCTGACTTTGGGTTTGCCATTAATTGTCAGTAAGGTCAAAATCCTATGCATGTTAGGGAAAGAAAGGATGGCATTTCCGATATGCCCCAGCCTGGCAGAGGCAATCTGTGTTCTATACTGTATATCCTTTTCTGTCCTGACTAGCATAGCACTGCATCCTAAGTGCCTGTTCAAAAATCCTATGAATGTTATCTTTTCCTTGAATTGCAGAAGAGATCAGTTTCAGTGGAGGATAGATTTAATTTCATATAGGGCATCAAGGGTCAGCTATTGATTTTAGATGTATCAGATGTCAGTCGCACAGTGTACATTTGGCTATTGATAGGTTATATTGTCTGACATTATTAATCTTGGTTGATCTATTTTCCCATTGGCTGGGAAGAGAAAAGTGTTGTTGCTAAATATAGTTTTTTACTTTTTGTGTTGTCGTTTTGCTTAAATCAATGTATAGTGTGCATTTAGATCCTTATTACACAAAGGCATGCAAAGATCTAGATATCCACATAACTCACGAGACAAGTTCAACTGCGGCTAGGACTGGTGCCTTTTCGCAGGCATGATTCCAACATCCTTAACACTGTGCTGTATGAAGGACACAAATTTGAGGTGCGCACCTTTCTTTATTATTTCTGATCATGTAGCTCTTTGCAGCTAAGGAGACCCGTCAGAAAAGGAAAAGAAGAAGGAAAAACGTGGCTGTGCTAAGATTTATAGTTTGGCCCCATTGACCACCATGAGTCAGTGAGTATTGTGATTTCTGAACAGCATTAGATGTCAGTAGCAAGAACATCCAGTGTAAAGGGAATGTCGGAGAGGAATCGGCTTGTGCATGAGCTGTATGACTCCTCCTAGATTTTTAACCCACATCAGTGAAGCTCTCATTACCTTTATGGAGAGCAGGGGAGGGCAGCCTAGACAGATATCAGGCATGAGGGCTCTCCTTGCTATTTTACAAAAAATCCAAGATCTCCACACTGCAGTCAGGTTTGAAAGATAAAGAATTAAAGAAATCTGAAGCCAGGAACTTGTTGGATTATCAAAAGAGAAATTTCACCATCTTTCTGCACAAAAATCCACTCTTGGTTACCTGAGTCTGTCCTTATTTAAGCAACGTAATTTAGAATTCCTTCTGTTGTAGCTATTGTTAGGCAACTAGTGATAGAAATCCATCCTAGTCTGCAAACAATCAGCCAGAGATTTCTGCCCAGTCTTGCTCTAAATAATGGCTGCTTTAGGTTATGGGCTTTTGTGTCTGCCTATATATTTGTGGTGTGCGGAATCTTAAGTAATATTGGGACTAGTTTGTTATGTTTGCTCTGGGAATGGCTTCCCTATTGCAAGGTAACACACTCTCCAGCCCTATTCCACACTCTCCTTCTGTGCATAACCTCTACATGTTCAGCAGCTGTGTGAGAGAGGTGCTATTCATGTCATCTTTGCCTGGACCACCCTTGTCCAAGCTGGTACACTCAAGATATTTTGGTCTCCAGTGGTCTGGAATGTTGGGAGATGTAGTCCAGAACATCTGGAGCGCACTGGGTTGCAGTAAGTGCTTCCAAGAAATTTGGAACCCTGTACAATTTTGTTCCTTCCCTGTGGATGTTTCTAAGCATACTCAGATGAACACACATAGCGAGTAGTCGATGGAGCAGTGGGTGTGTCAATCAACATGACTATGTACATTATGGCTGAACCCATACAAATTCCATTTGCCTGATGTGACTTCATCACAATGGAATTTCCAGACACCCAGCAGGTCACTGGCCCATTACTTAAAATGATTTGAATGCATTATGCAAAGAGCTTGTATATAAGAAAGGTGGGGAACCAAGGGCCAGATCTACCCTCTTTCCTGAACACCCAGTTCAACCCTCCAGTATTCCCTGATCCTCCCTTTTTTCCCCCTAACCATGAATAGATTGGTGGTTTTCTCAATTTTTCTTATTTTTGTAGCATTTTTTCTTTATTCTAAAAGGTTGCAATGTCTCTCTTAAGGCTAAGTTATTGGCAGTAAAATCTTGAAAGTAAAATATGCTGGCACTTTCCTTTTCCTGGAGTGGTTGGAGGTATGTTGGCCCTATCCTTTTTGTGTTTGGCCCGGCTATTTACTGTAACACCAGAGAGTGACCAGAGAGCTTTTCTGAAATGTCAGGCTGAAAGAAATTCCCCACCTGAGGGCAGTGAATGATGTCATAAAGCCTTTTCCTTAAGTCAATATGTACTGAGGACTATGCCTTATATAGCATTGTGCCAGGAGGTGTTTCTTTTACATGTGAGTAAATTTATGATAATAGAAAATAAGGAACCGACCAGTATAAGCAACATAATTATTTGGAATCCATG